AGGTCAGAGTTCACTCCTCTAACTACTGATTTGTGTGAGGGAATGTGAAGAATTTAATACGGGTTGCAAATTGTTCCATTTCCCTTAATTATTTTCTTGGTGTCAGATAGAGTTCTTTGGTGGGTGTTTGTTTTTGCAACCATGGTGATGAGATATATTTGCTGGCTGCAGTCAAAATAATTCCAAACAGTTATCTACTGGCATAATTTTTTATTCAGCGGATCCAGACATTTTCCTGCTTTACACCCAAAGGGTAGGAATTTGGAAACTATACTCCCAAAATAGCTCATAAATTGTTTTTTCTAAATCATTTTTCTAAATCAGACCAATAGTTGATTTTTTTGATACATTCCCACAAAATATCAGGATCGCTCCTCACACAGCACAGAACTGCATCCATTCAAAATTTTCTTATTACTCCATCTTGAGGAAAAAACCCAGATGATCTCATTTAAATCATAAATATTCTTCAGAGCAACTTCCTTTATAACATGTGTGCAATAAATCATTTACCCCACAATGCTGCTCCGCTACTACTCGTCTTGGTGTGAAAAACTCAGTGTACGATTTGACAAACTGCTGACAAAACCAGCTTGATTTTAGAACCGTATAGGAATCAAACACTTCCTGGGAGATCCGAGTTATCTGGCAGCAGTGCATTTAAAAGCATGTGTGTATATGCATTTAAAAACACATTGGCTAGTCGATTCTACTGCCCTTGGATGTTAGCAATGATTTTGACAGATCCATACTGCTTTAAAGAACAGAATTTAACCCCCTGTGATTAGATTGGAGGATCTGATTACAATTTGTGTTGGAGTTATGAGCGATAGTGGGATAGTAACCTTTTCAGCTGCTGAAGTCAAAAGCCATCAAGGACTGTGACTCAAGAGTCCTCAGTGCCTGGCACTCACAGGAAAGTAAAAACTGAACTTTACAGGGGTTTGTTCTGCTACACCAGCCTGTGCCTTCTCAGGACAGGCACATGGTCTAGCTAACCACCCCTCCCACTGGCCTGATAGCATCTAGCAGGAGAACAGGCAGAGAGCTGGAAGCAGGAATCTCTTTAGTCATGCCAGCATGAACTGGCAGAGCTTGGGATTCCAAGCACGTATTCACATGAGCAGGGCTTATTCTCAGGGCTGGAATAGCCCCATTGATTCAGTGTATCCGAAGGAATTGGATTATGAAACAAAAGTAAATTCTATCCTCATGTTTTCTCGACATCGCTTCCTATTGATATGTGTGGCTTTCGATTCTATCTTCAAAACGTGGAGGCCATGGCTGCAGTAGAACTAGACAGTATGTAATAGTGCTGGGAAGCCTGTGGATTGTGAAGAGCTGAATATGCTGGTAGGAACGGTAGGAGGTACTTGATCTGGGGAACCATCCATGGTGAATATCTGAAGTAACTCTGGGCAAGTACCCAGCTCCTCTGAACTCCAGAACTGTGATAGAGCAAGCAGTTACTTTGCTAACGCTCCCTCTAAGTCATTATTGGGAGTAGCAGAGGACCAAAGGTTCCATTTTTTTATCAAATTACAAAATGAGATCGATTGCTGAAAGGAAACTGAGGCATAATCTTGCTCACATAAACTGGAATCAGCAAAACACGTTTTGTCTCTGGCACACAGTTTCAATCAAATCTGAGGACAGAGGCAATTTTAGGGGCTTCAGCCTTTTCCTTGATTGACAGCTTTCCAACATATTCACTTTCCATCATGAAAAACACATTGTCACAATGACTGTAAGGAACCCTCTGTGCCCGACTGATTTTAACAATACAGCATTGTAGGAGCAATTTGTTTCCCTTTCATTAATGAAGATGTATAGGACATTAAATACTAGTCACTGACTTTTCTGTTAGAAGAGATGGCATTTGCTGTTCCCAATTTAAACGGGAGCTGGGATGGCTGTCAGAACAGTTGATGTCCTCCAGGATGGGTGTTGCTAGTGAGTATTATTGTTTCAAAATAAAAATAGTTTCTAAACAAAATGTTGTGGGAGGATAAAAGTTCAGTTAAAGTTGGGCAGTGGCCAGCTTGGGTTTCATGGAGTAATTGCTAATTGTGTAAGTTCTGCCCAATGCTCTGTTTACCAAGGATGTTTTGCCCATTTTAGCTGAGGTGGGGCTCATTTCCTTAACAGACACAGAACAGAGCTGCAGTCTGCTCTGTATCCTGCTGACAGAGCATGCTCAGATTCTGAGGCATTCACAAAAAGTAAAAGTAACTTCCCACCCCAAACCCCCCCTCCTACTTTATAGTGGGCTCCGATAAAAGGATCAGGATGTCCCTCACTTCAATATTTACCTTCTCTTACTTCTATATTTCAGAAACGTTCAAGGTCAAGTGCATCTCAGTGCTTGCCCCAGTTAATCCTTCCTGTCAGACGGCTGAAATGCAGCACTCCCAGTATTCCATGTGGATCATCAGTGCACACGAGCAGTGTAAGAAACTGAATGCACAGTCCCTGCCTCGAGTTTGTTCAGTAACTCCTGCTCACAATTAATAACAGTACAGCAACGTGTGGTGTGCTGATACTACCAAACCTCAGTCCTGACTGCAGTCAGAAGAAAGCGGAAATTTATGTATTGCAAAAACTCGCTGTGGGTTACAAGGTCTACAGTGCATATTGGTGCATTCATGTGATTTACCTCTCCTAAGAGCCACTAGCTGGGAAACCACAGAGTATAAAAACATTGCTTTGTTAGTTAATGAGCTCTTTTCTCTTTCATTATAAAATTAACCCGAGACTGAATCAAATAAAGAAGTCTTTTAAATAACCTAAAACTTAAAGCATGTGGTATCTGACTGAAGGAATGGTTTTATGATGCAGAGAATTCTCTGCCAAGAATTCAGAAACAACAGCCACACTACTTCTGTAAATCAGTGCCAGGTCAGAGGATTGTCATTATCATTTTACTATGATTATTCTTCTCGAGCCACATGACACTGGTAATTTCTGCTAGAGTTGCAGTTAGGGCACCCATTCTACTTTGCTGTCTTGTAAACACCACATTCGTAGAAATTTTCAGATGTTGTGAGGAATTTGTATAGTCCCCTGCTAAATCAGAACACTTGAACTAGTATTGTGAACCCACTGCACAGAACTGGGTAGGCACTGGATGGCCTGTATGGAACTGTGTAGCTGTATTACACGGAATGGCACTGGAGTTAATTATGTCTGCAGCAGCAGTCTGAACTGTGGATTCCTCAGCCTTTGCCAAGTTACGTCTAGAACATGGAAAACCTTGTATGACTGTTTAGCAGGAGTGTGATCCACATACCTCATCCTTAAAAACAAGGAGAAAAGAATTGAGCACATCAGTCTTTCACTTTTAACAATGACACTGCACTTGAGAAGGCAATACCAAATAAAGCAATTCCTTGCACCCTGTCCCAAATCTGAGTCATAGCCCTGGGGACCTCAGAGCCTCTGAATAGTATTTCCTCTGCCTGTTGTCTTTAGCATATTAGCACACCCATCTTACTGAAGGAGACTGCTACTGATTATGTGCCACCTTCAACAGTAACACAGGGTGGGTCCTGGGGGGG